TGTAGGGAATTTAACAATGCCTATTTTCATAGTACCGGGGTACAGTCAACATCAGGTGTTATTCATGCTCAATTTCCCTCATGGTTCAAGCAAACATTGTCTAGCGTTCTTGCGCTAACTCCAGAAATACTCCATTTGAGAAACTTGGCATAAGGCCCTATCCAAAGCGCAAATGATTGGCACACATACTTCGTGAACAGATATAAATTTCACACTGAGGCATGGACCGAAGGGAAAAAAACCATAAATAGTGGTGTTTTTGTAAAAGGAGTTACAGATGGCGGTGAAGACGACTTCTATGGATTTGTTAAACATATCTATGAGTTGGTATACAATTACTTGGACACGGAAAATAAAGTTGTCTTGTTTTATTGTGAATGGTATGATCCAACTAGAGGCACAAAGATAGACAAGTCATATGGTTCTGTCGAGATTCAAATGAACCGGAGATACAAAGAATATGACCCTTTCATAAAGTCACATATTGTTAGGCAAGTTTATTATGTTCCTTATCCTTCATTTGTAATACGTAAAATAGGATGGTGTGTTGTAATAAAAACAAAACCGCTAGGTCATATTGAAACTGGAGATCTAGTGGAAGATGTTGCCTACCAAGTTGATGACGTTGAACAGATTAATGATGTGGTTGCAGCTGAAGACATTACAACTTTGTCTGATACAACTGTTGAGGGACTTCAAGTTGATGCGTCTATATTGTTAGTTGATAATAATATGGATGAAGACAATGATGAAGAGTTTGAATCCGAGGACAATATTACATCGGATGATGAACATGATATGGATAACGAGCATGAAGATTTAGATTAATTAATCACTTAATGTAATATTAATGAATATCTATTGAACATGTATATATTGAATTTGTCAATGAATATATATTTATGTCAATGACTTTATTATCTTTGTTTATGAAAATATATATAACTAGGTAAAATGCCACCGAAGAATAAGGATAGCGGTAAGAAGTCTCAGCGTCCGAGGGTAGTAACATGTGAGTCTCCTCACTCAGCCATGTGCCCACCCCCTCAGAGTCAGGTTGATCCTATGTCCCTGGCCAGCACTCAGGGTTTTGTCCCATTACTCTCCTCCCATACATTCCCGTTTGGGGTACCTGCATCTTTTGTGCCACCTGGAGGCCCCGGTTTCCTTTTCCCACAGACTCAGATGTCGTCTTCCTTCCAGCATGCGGGAGGATCTAGTTTCCCTTTCCCACCGACCCAGATGCCGTCATCCTTCCAGCAGGCGGGAGGATCTAGTGTTCCTTTCCCACAGACTCAGATGCCATCTTCCTTCCAGCATGCGGGAGGATCTAGTTTCCCTTTCCCACCGACCCAGGTGCCTTCATCTTTCCAGCAGACTGGTGTCCCCTCATCATTCCAGCAGACGGGGGGAGGACCCAATTTTCCATTTCTACAGACTGGCGTGCCTTCATCATTCCAGCAGACGGGGGGATCCACACAGATGTCTTCATCCTTCCAGCAGGCGGGAGGGTCCAGCACCCCACACTCCACACACATTGGAGGACCCAGCAGTCCACGTCCGACACAGGCTACAGGATCCCGCGCCCCACGTCCTAGACGGACCGGAGGGTCACGCACCCCACATCCCACACAGGCTGCAGGATCCAGCACCCCACGTCCTACACAGGCTGACGGTGATGCAGATGTGGTAGCTAATGATATAGATGGAGCTGATATTCGTGAGAGAGATGATCCGAGTGAGATTCAAGTCATTGACGGGAGGTTTTGGATTTGGCCCAAAGGAAGCAAGTAAGTTTCTTATATAAACTTTTATTTAAGTACATATTCATTTTAATATTTTGTATAAATTTATAATTAATATTGTTTATTCAAAATCTTGTTGTTTAGTTTCGCGCCGAGTCGGACGGCTGCCAAGGTTATTAATTATATAATCCAGCAGATGTATAAATCATCTTGGAAGAACTTTGGCGAGGTTACAAATAAAGAAGAATGGTTTAAAAAATTTAAGGTATTGTTATTTATTTAAGTTGTAAATTTAATATATTTTTTTAGTATTGTTATTTAAGTCACATTTTAATGATAATTACTTAACTTTTTATTTTAATGTCATACAACATTGCAGGAAAAATGTGTGTGGAATCCGTTGAATGAGAAAATTATGGAAAAAATCTATTATAGCAGAACTTCTAGAAGATTTTCTGATATAATGCGGCGGGTTAGGGAGAATTATGAGCTGCATGGTATCCGTCCTAACTAGATAGGCGTAGAGGTTTTTGGCGAACTTCGTACATATTGGGGTTCGCCAGAATTCAAGGCCAAATCCGAAAATTTTAAGAAGATGAGGGCATCCGAAAAGGGGGATGTGTCAATACTGTTGGAAGTATTAGCACTGCAGAGCATGTCCGGCGGATGGTAAATATTACTAATTTTTTAAGTTATATATATTTTTATTCATAATATTTTTTACTAATTATTTTTAACTTTATTGTTTAGACTAAGGAGATGGGGAGACCACTATTGATCATTGAGTTGATTATGAGGACTCGGACAAAGAAATCGGGAGGTTTTGTCGACGACCGCACCAAGAGAGCTTTTGTAAGTAATTTAACTTATGTTTTTTTTTTAAGTTAATAACAAAAATAGTGACGTTATTTTCACGTGGCAATCTATAAGTTGTGGCGTGATTATCATGTGGCAACTGATAAATTGCCAGGTGACTGATTTTCATGTGGCAACTGATACATTGCCACGGGAAAATCACGTGGCAATTCATAAGTTGATTTGTGAAAATCACGTGACAAATTTTTAATATATTTGAATTTAGTATAATTTAATATATAAATGTTTTAATTAATTATAAATTTAATATATATATATATATATATATATATATATATATATATATATATATATATATATATATATATATATATATATATATATATATATATATATATATATATATATATATATATATATATATATATATATATTTTTAATTGTATTATTTAATGTATGTGTAGGATGATTATCAAACATTGCTAGCACGTTTTCTGGAACACAATCCGCAATATAGGCCAGCAGAAGGGGAGCCGCTTAATGGTGATGTTGATTTCTATATTTGGAATGAGGTTGTTAATGGAAAAGGGCCTAATGGTTGCTTTTTTGCGGGAGGAAATTTGGCCGCCGGCTTGAGAGTTGGTGACCGTAATCTGTTTCAGCGACTTAGAGATGGAGAAGGGGGTCACGTCAACCGAATCTGACACAGGTTCAACTTGAAACAGTAAGACAATTGGCGGCAAGTGAAGTGAGGCGCGAAATGGAGGCCCAAATGACGACAATGAGGCAAGAGCAGGAGCAGCAGTTAGAGATCATGCGGAAGAGGCAATCTGATATGGAGGAGCAGATGAGACGGTTTATGCAAGACGGTGGAAATCAAAATGTTCCTGATCATACACAGCCGGATGATGACGGAATTGATGACTTTGATCTTGATAATTATCCGGGTGAAGATGCCCCGTGAAAACATTTTATTTATTTCATTTTTATATTTGCATTTATGTAAGATATTTATTTTTATCATTTTAAATTATTAAATTATATAACATTTTATTATATGACTTTATTTTATAAAATTCTATTATTCGAAATATAAAATAAAATACTATTATTCTAATAATTTTAATATATAAATTTTATTATATAAATTTTATTATATAAATTTTATTATTTAAATTTTATTATATAAATTTTATTATTTAAATTTTATTACATTAATTAATTAATATAAAAAATAATTACTAAACAATTTTTTAAAAAATAAAAACGTCACCTGTAGCGACGTGGGAATCATGTCACAAATTAGTGACATGATTCTCACGTCGCAACTAAAGCTGCTTTGTCAGATATTATATTCCCTACAACAAAGCTGTTGCGACGTGAATACCACGTCACAACTTTGTGACGTGGGAATCACGTCGCTACTGGCTTGCCACTAGCTCCTCAGCGACATAAGTCTCCACGTCGCTAATTTTGTTTTGCCACGTGATTTTGATGTTTGCCACGTGATTTTCACGTGACAAATAAGCTTCTTTTTTGTAGTGATTAGATTTAATATTTAAATATAATTCAAGTTGTGTAAGCCCAAACTCAATTAGGCTTGTATATAAATAGTCATAGTGTGTATCTTTATTTTGTATGATACAATTCAAGTGAATAAAAGAATTTTTATTTCCTTTATTATTTTATCTTTCTCTTCTCACTAAAAGTGACTCACGCACTATCAAAAAAATGATTATCCATCAATGTATTTCTCTTGTGGATGGAATAGTTGCAAATATCAAACATTGGACATAAAGTTTGTTGAGTTATGTCGGGCGGTGCCAACTAATTCAGAGTGTGCTTTTCGTGGTCACGACATATTGAACGCAAGTCTTTCCTCTTCCACAAAAGATAATAAAGCAAATTGAATATGTATGTAGGAATTTCTTATGGAGTGCATCAGAGGAAGTGAGTAAAAAAACTCCAATTGGTTAGGAGAGTCTTATGAACCCAAAAGTGTTGGTGGTTTGAACATGATTGCTTTACAAATATGGAACAAGGCTACAATTACTACATTGTTGTGGAATATCCAAGCCAAGGCGGATAAACTATGGGTTTGATGGATGGACGCATATTATTTCAAAGGGGGAGGATGTATATATGAATAATAATTATATTTTTTGAACGATAATTTTTATGGTTTGTTCTATGTACTCTATTTTCGATTGATATTGTTACTTCTTTTTATGTGGCACGAGGATTTGTATTATTGAACCCAAAAGATAATGAAATGACACAAATGATGAATTTGAAATTTCATCTTATATAGTTACTTTATTTTTCATATTACAAGTTATTATAACTTTTGGATGACAATATGATGCCACAATTATTAAAATTCAGAAGAGTGGTCTTTGGTGTATGTGAATAAACATTCACATCACATGAGTATATATTTCAATGCGCAGTACAAAGAAAAGATCCATCACTTTGGTAAATTGTACAACCAGTTGAAGCAAGACAACAGTTGCATGGTGGATTTTTGAGGTGTTTATCTCCGGAAGAAGGACAAATCATGTATGAACGATCAACAAAGCAAAATTGAGGGCAAATTTTAGCATCAACATTTTTCAGATCGTCTCCTAAAAGAATAGCACCTGGATCATAAACACAAAAAATTATAAAGTATACAATAATTTGCAAAAATAACTTAAAAGATGAAGAGAAAAAAAAAAAACTTTATGTTAAAAGAAAGAGTGTTTGTGGAGTTCAAAATTTACCACAGAGGAAGAATAGAAGGATAGTACCAATCTTTAAAGCCATGTTTCTTTGCAAAACTGCTCAAGCTCATGTCTCATATTTATAGGATAATTAAATAATATTCTTTTTGAAAAGAATAATAATCCAATGATAATAACAATTTTTTGAGTAAGAAAAAGTTAAAACAATAATAAGATACATTAATTTCTGCGTCTTAAAATAATCACCAAACTTACTAATTCACACAATCTTCACAAGGAGAAACTATGCCGGCCAATAAGCCAACGTCAAAATCACTATAGAATGTATCACACAAAAAAAATCACAATATAGAATTCCTTATCCAACCCTTCATCCTTTATCATTTGAATGGTGTGAAGAGAAAAACCAAGTACATAAAATGTCAAATTCAGACAGCTACTTTTGATTTTTTGATGATAAACATTTGTAGATTTGTTTATTTTAGACATAATGAACAAATAATAGTAGTAGTAGTAGATTGTTTACTTAATTAAACACAAAAAGTCAAATTAAAGACTTGACACTTGAGATGATGAAATGGTTTGAGATTAATTTGACAATTCAAACAAGGAATTTAATCATTGACTTACTCACTCATATATAGGGGTAACCATGTGCATGGTTTCATTAGGATACTATATCGTTGGAAGATAACTAAATAAACCCATCTCTATACAGTGAAGTATATATTTTTAAATTTGTGCAGCTTAAATAGAGAAATGGATTTCCTGCAGTCAAATAGTGATTGCAGGCAAAATTTCAACCATTCAATTAAATTATCAACTATTATCTTTATGGTGATTATTAAATTTGAGCATTTAAAATTTAATTCAATGGTTTATAAATTATGATTATATGACTGTAGGATTTCCCTGACTATAGGGAATTCAGAGCCCTTAAATAGATGGTCAAAAAACAAAATAAGAAGAAAATATCTCAATCGAAGAAAATATGTTAGAGAGAGAAGCTCCACTCTCTCTCTAACTTTCAACGTATTTCTTTAAGTATTTAACAATCAATATAGATGTCAGAGACTATGATGGAGATTGGAGACAAGTTTATAACTATAAGATGAAAACTTTTAAGAGGCTAATAAAATGGGATAACGCGTGGTTTCATCACCGAAGGAAGGGAGAGGAGAGAAGAATGTCGTGCGAGAAACATGTATGAGGAATTCAAACACTTTGGAGACATAGACAAAGTGGCGATCCCGTCTAAAAGAGATGTAAGGGGTATGAGGTACGATTTTGTTAGGTTTTTCAACGTTGAGAGAAAGAGTTCTAACAACTAAGCTTAACAACATGTTTATTGAAAAGAGAAAGATCTTTGTCAATGTTACAAGATATCATAGAAGATAGGAGTGTGGCCCCAAGAGCATTACAAAAATGGATAGTTCAATGAAGGGTGAAGTTAGGGCAAGGAAAGGAGGATCCAAAGGTCATTGAATCAAATATTTTCTTCAAAAGGTTAAAACTAAGGGACTAACGATTATGGCGGGGTCAGGAGATCCACTACCACGAAAAACCCATTTTACCTCTGTTCAAAATAAGGGTTAACCTCGGTTCATATGTGAGGTAACGAAGGGCGTCATGAAATGTGCGTCTTTTTTTCTCTCGGTCGAGATTTCACCGAGGGAAAATATTTAATGATCATGAGTTCGATCCCTAACAGTTGTATTTTTATTATTTTTCAAAACTGCATGCTATTCCCTACACTTTTCTCGGTTATAAGAAAAACGGAGGTGATAGAGTCAACATTATTACCTCGATTTATTATAATAATCAAGGGAAAAACTTTGTTATTTAATTTTTTATTTTTCTATATTTTCATTTTAACTTGTATGCAGAACCTATTTTACCCATTTCTGAAACAAACGTTGTACTTTTTGCCAATTTTTAAAACAAAAATATTGTACAAAAAATATTCATTGTTTACACCAATTACAAAGCCAAAATAGCGCACACCTTATATTTTTACAACAAAACTAAAACAAATTATTAACTAACAAAAGAAAAAAAACTAAAATGAAAATTCTTGAATGACCGTGCAATAGTTGTCTTATGTGATTTATAACCGGTCATTAAACACCTATAATTTGAACAAGATTTGAAATCAATTAGGATAATCAATAACAACATTAAATATTTAAAGCATTAATCTCAACAACAATAACAACAATATTCAACCTTCAATCTCAACAACAACAACAACAACATTCAAACTTCAATATCAAGAACATGCATCAATAACTAAAACCAACATAACTAATTTATAATCATATATGAATGTCACAAAGAATACCATTTACTTTAGAGGTTTTTAATTTCCTGACTTTTACTTATAAAACAATGCAACATATGGTGTCCTTCAACATTTCTACATGTTCGAAATAAATAAATATTATTAAAGAATAAAAATTTAAAATGAATAAATATATATTACTAAGTCATATAAAATATTTGCTTACTAGTTTTCTCATATCCCCTCTTGAAGATCATAATGGATATGATGCACATCATCTAAATTATTTTCTTCAGATGAGACACGAACATGCATTGTGAAAGAAGGGGTCTCAAAATTTAAATCTTGATTTTCCCCACTATTAGGAATATGTTTTCCTTGTAGAATAATTGACCTTCTAGTGTTAGAAGGATCAATGACATCAAAAAAAAAATTTATGCCATGATAAATGGTTCGTTCATATAAGTTGTCCGTCGAAGATCAACCTGTGTGAATCCTAATTCATCATTTTTTATACCATTGTTATTGTCAATCCACTTACATTTAAATAAAGACACTTAAAGAGTAACATAATCAATCTCTGAAATCTCCTCAATAACCTCAAAGCATGCTCTAGATGCTAGTACTTGATTGTTATCTTTGAAACAAGAGAAGTACATGAATTCAACTTCAACCATAAGCCCACTATTTTTCATGGTACTACGGTCAACCTTTGATTTTGTATATAATTAAAATTAATAATTTTATATGCACTCCAAGTTATTATATTAAACTTAGGAAAATATGAAATTTATTTAATTGTCTCGAATGTACTACTATCTTTAGAAACCCTTTCATTAAACTAATTTATGAATATTTTGTTATGCTCTCTCAACATCAATTTTCACTCATCCGAGAGAATTTTTCCTTGATATGACTTTTGTGAGCGGGTAACTAAGGTTGAACTTAATCAATATTATTTTATATACAAATATGCTTGAAGAAATAAATCTTTGTTCATTTTCTTAATATTTAAACCTTGAGACACTCTACCTCAATATCTTCTATCATGACGAGACTCAGGAATGATTAGAGTTTTCTTCGGAAAAATAGTTTGTACGAAACTCAATAGCTTCTTCTGTAATTTATAATTTAACATTCGAAATTTCCAGACGGTGATGATTCTTTGTATACCCTTTAAAGATCTTCATGTATCTCTCTACCAGATACATCCACCTTAAATAAACTAGACTACAAAATCTAATCTCCCTTACTAAATGAACAATTAAGTGAACCATCATGTCAAAAAATAATGGAGATAAATACATCTCTATTTGACACAAGATAATTGCAGCCTCATATTCCAACTCATCTAAATTTCCAGGATCAATAACTTTACTACATATAGTATTGAAGAATAAGCACAATTTAGTTATAGTTACCCTTACATTTTTTTGCTAAAATGCCACAGATAGCGACTGATAGAAGTTGTTACATCAAGACATGGCAATGATGAGATTTTAAACCAACTAATTTAATATATTCCATTGACACAAGTTTCTTCACATTTGATGAGTACCCTTGGGGAACTTTGATACACTACAAAAATTGAAATTTTTTCATTTTTAGAAAGAGTATGACATTCTAGGGGGCAAATATGTTCTATTTCCTATTTCTTTTGGAGCCAACTCTTGTCTTATATCCATCAATCATATTTAGACGAGATTTCTTACTATCTTTTGTCTTTCCTTTAATGTTTAGAAGTATTCCACTCAAACTATGACATAAATTTTCTCCACAAGCATCACATCAAGACAATATCTTACATCGAGGCTAGACCAATATGAAAGATCAAAGAACATTGACCTCTTTTACCAAATATTTTTTTCTACGGGACCTTTTTTTCTCTTTCCAAAGACAACATTCATGTGTTGTGGTATTTAACCTTCCTCCCCAGTTAAAGACTTTGGAGTGATATCAAACTCTTACTCTCCATTAAAAGATTTCTACAATATATGGTATGAATGATTAGGTCTTATAAATTTTTGATGCCCAAGGTAAATAGTTTTTTTTTTCATTTTTTAGTTGGTGGGAGCATGTACCTAGTCAAATTACCGTATACAAGAAAGTCATTGATTGTATAAAAATAGCAAAGTAGTACAACACAAGCATTCACAATCATCATCACAACATAACAAGTACCATGCTAATACATACAGTCATACATCAATGCACATGAATGCTATGCAATTCATGCTAACCTCTACTCTGTATCTATGTTGTACCAAACACTGAACTCATATTATATTCCTGGAAATACATGTAGACTATGCTTTGTACCACAACACTCTCTCTAAACTTCCATGGACCTGAAATGCCTAGGAATACATGTGGGCTACAGTCGTACCACTTCACTCTCCTAATTTCTACAGTTTAGGAGTACATGTGAGTTATGTTTGTACTACAACACTGTCCTAGATGTCTGTAGACCTACAATGTCTAGAAGTACATCTGAGCTACATTCATACTACAACAATCCCATAAACACTACTCTTAGTCCCACACTAGTATGATGCATGAAAAAACCATAGACAATAATCCTCCAAAACCTCATTCCTCTTTGAAATACATTACTTCACACTTCCACATAAGGGCTTCATAATAATTTCCTCGAAACACATTTCCAGCATTGCCACATAAGGGCTTCATATTGATTCATCTCAATCATTCATAGTTTCCCGTATTAGTACTAATGCAACACTATCATTAGATTTATCACAATAAATTTTGTCGTGTTAGCTTTCCAACACATCTGACCGCAC